AGGCTTCCCTTTCCCCTTAAGCAGTTTGGCCCAGGCTGAGGGCTGGACCAGCAGACCCCCAGCCTTTCAGCCCAAGACTGGACGGCACAAGAGCCCGGCATGTGACCCAGCTGGCAGCACTCTTTTCCACATACAATGCTTCACTTTCATCCTGTCCCCTGCCAGCCTGGGCGCTTGTGCCCACCCAGCACCCTCAGCATGGAGTGGACCCTACCGGACTCCTGCCTTTCCTAGCCATGTGGGGATCCAGGGAGCCGAGGCTCCTGGTGATGGGGACAGCTTCCTTTAGTTACTGGGACCAAAAGGAGGAACATAAACGTTATTTTACAGCTCCAGCCTTGATTCGTGCAGTGCTTCAAAGCAGAGAGTAACTGCCCATCTCCACCAGTGGCCCCCTCCACCCCACTCCCACCCTTGCATCACCACCACCCAGCTCTGAACTTCTTGCCCCTCCCCTTGTTCCAGTTATCTTCCTCCAACCCTCTGCCCACACCCTCACCTCACCCCCATCTTCTAAGTGTTAGATTGGCTTGGCACAGGCCAGAGGAAAGTGAGGGCTGGGCAGACTGCAAATTTGGATCCAGGTTAATTTTAGTCTCTAGGCTCTATCTCTGCATTTCTCCTCCCCTTTTACTCAGCAAGCCCTAGCACAGCCCTGGCTGGAGAGCTTAAATAGGCCTCCCCTCCCCCCCACCTTTCCACCACGGTGTCCAGTTTCAGGGCTCCCTTTGGGAAGTGCTGGAGCAGAGGAAGAGAAAGAGCAGAAAGGGGGATGGAGCAGCCCCACGTGCCTGAAGGAGGGCCAGCGGAGGGGGGCCTGTCCCACGCTGCACTGGCTGTAATTCAAACTACTCTGCCTTGCAGGTCAGCACTGGACATACGAGGGTGAGAGCAGAACCCAAGGCCTACCTACACCCCTTTCACACGGGGCTTCTTCACCTGGCAGCAAGACTTGCGTTCTGTGGGTGGGGAATTTCCTTTAGCTCCTCCCTTGTCCATCTCCTGTGCCCTAGGTTTGTGTAGATATGACTCCTAGACCCCGTTCTAACCCTGAAAGCTCACACCTCCAGCTTCAGCAGAAAAGCCAGTTTTATCCTCAGGCAGTTTGTGGGGAAGTGAGGGAGTTGGAGGGGGAAGGGAACCAGAGTTTAGCTGCCCATTGGTCTGCTGGCTCTCTTTCTAGCCCAATTGATCCTGCCCCCTCAACCTGCACTGTGAAATTGGGATGGAGCTTGAAGTCAAGGGGGAGAAGAGGCTAGCAGGATGATTTATGACCTTGGCTGAGGTGGAACTCAATTCCTTTGAACTTCTGATTAATAACTGAATTCTAGAGTCAATGCAAGGTCCAGTGTGAGAGCATGAAATCAGTAATGGGAAGTTAGAGCTGAATCTGAACCAAACCACTTAATAGGGGCCCCAAAGAAACTAGACTCTCAGGACCATTTTATTTCCTCAGTGTTCCAGCTTCTAGTCTAATGCCACCTCTGGGTATGCAGGCTTTCTACCCACCCCCTCTTCCTCTCCTTCAACTTTCTTGTCCTCAAACTACAGGTAAGTAAAAGCCACTACTCCCCATTTATCAGGAGAGCTGGGGAATCAGCATTGCCTCTGGGCAAGTGAAGAGAACTCCAGCAGGTCCATCAGAGATCCGACCTCACCCTGCCAGGCAAACTGGGGTCCTCACCTGGGGTGGAGGGATGCACATTTCCACCCACATACAGACGGATAGTTGGTGGGGGCTGCTGAAGGGCTGGCTGGGGCTGGAGAGCAGAACAAATTTCTGTAACCCCCACCAGGTCCACATGGTCCAGATCACTGGCCAGACTCTTACCCTGAGTGTGGAAGTAATGCCCAGTCTCCCATCAATATCCAGACAGAGAGTGTGACTTTTGACCCTGAGTTGCCTGCTCTGCAACCCCAAGGATATGACCAACCTGGCACCAAGCCTTTGGAACTGCACAATAATGGCCACACAGGTAAAAAGCCCAGACTCCAAGGAGGTGTAAACTCAGTTCCAATCTTAGAAGTCAGGGCAAAGAAGCATTCTCCTAACTTCTAAATTCTCAGGAGGCTCTATCTATACATTTAGAGATGTGAGAATGGGGATGAGGCTCCAGTACCCACAAGTGGGAGCTGAATGTGATTAAGCTCTATGGGTGGATTAGTATCATATCATCTACTTGATCTTCACTGAGAAAGGAAAGGGTGTGCAAAAGAAGCAATAGCCTACGGGAGAACTGGGTGGTATTTGGGAGAGGCAGGAAAGGCTGGCCAAGTCTCCCAAGTGGTAGCAACCCAAGGTCCAGAATGTGTCCACATCCCTCCACCAGCCCTACCTTGCTTCTTTCCTCTCTGCACAGTGCAGCTCTCTCTGCCCCCCACCCTGCATCTAGAGGGATTTTCCAGAAAATATGTAGCTGTTCAACTCCACCTGCACTGGGGTGAGAAGGGCTCCCCAGGGGGGTCAGAGCACCAGATCAACAGTGAAGCCACAGCTGCAGAGGTACCAGGGAGCAAGGCTGAACTAGGGCACAGGGACAGGCATTGTCGGTGCTAGGGAAAGGAAGGATTTGGAAACTGGGAAGTCGTATGTGGGGGAAAACACCAACCTTTGTGGGACAGACTTAGGGCATGCTGGAGACACTGGTGGTGGTGGTCAAAGCCTCTGGGAGGGGGTGGTGGAAAAACACTGAATGATTCCATTCCCTCTCCCCTACCTCAGCTCCACATCGTACACTATGATTCTGATTCCTATGAGAGCTTGAGTGAGGCTGCTAAGAGGCCTCAGGGCCTGGCTGTCTTGGGCATCCTCATTGAGGTCAGTGGCCCCCCGATCCTGCCCAGGTCTGTCCCCACCCCTCGGTCTTATTCTGTCTAGGTCTGCTACTGATCTCCTTCCCAAGGCAAGTCAGTAACCCACTCTGACCATTTATTCTATACATGAATGCCTTACTGCATATATGGACTCATTCCAAACTCTCTCCCTTTCCTCCCCTTCTTCCAGGTAGGTGAGACTAAAAATCCAGCTTATGAACACATTCTGAGTCACCTGCATGAAATCAGGCATAAAGGTGAGCCTTAAAAATCTCTATCTTAGGACTTCAGGGAGACTTCCCCCAAAAGGTCTAAGAAGCCTGGGATGAGGCAGTAAGTTAGGGGCCAGGCAGTTCCACTTCTGGGAGCCCTGTCTATGTAAGCAGTGAGGGGAGGATGAGTCCTAGGCTTTCTCCCGCAGATCAGAAGACCTCAGTGTCGCCCTTCAATGTGACAGAGCTGCTCCCACCACGGCTGGAGCAGTACTTCCGTTACAATGGCTCGCTTACCACACCTCCCTGCTACCAGAGTGTGCTCTGGACAGTCTTCAATCAAAGGGCCCAGATTTCAATAGGACAGGTGCGTGGGGGAGAGGTGAGGCAGCAGAAACATAGTTGCAACCTCAGATCCCTTCCGACTCCCCAGAGTGAGTGACATGTCCCTGCTAATCCCACTCTTCTACTCCTCAGCTGGAAAAGCTTCGTGAGACACTGTTCTCCACACAAGAGGAACCCTTTACACTCCTGGTACAGAACCACCGAGTCCCCCAGCCCCTCAACCAGCGCACTGTCTTGGCTTCTTTCATCCAAGGTAACTGTTGGGCTTGGAAAAAAAGGGAAACTGGGGGATTCGATGCCAAGAAATAGGGAGCCCCAGGAACAGAAAAGAAGGCCAAGAGGGGATGGGGTTTCTAGGATTTTCTTGGACTAGGAACCACCCCCTAGCACCCAGCTGACTTCCCCAGGGGGAAGGGGATAGAAGCAGTGTGTTCCCTCCAGCCAGGATGGGGACCTGAAGTCCCACTGACCCAAGTCCCCTTCCCTTACAGTGAGATCCTTGTATACCACAGGTAAGGCAGCCTTACCCAGGCAATGGGTGGGGAGGCCCTCTCAGCAACTGGGGGAAAGGCTCCCTGTCTGTTATTCTCCGGCTGGCCCCCTCCATCTTTCTGTCTCCCAGGCAAAATGCTGAGTCTAGGTGTGGGGATTTTGTTTGGCTGTCTCTGCCTTCTGCTGGCTGTTTATTTCATCGCTAGAAAGATTCGGTGAGGTCCTACTTTCCATTCCTCCAGTCCTTTCTCTTCTGATGGAAAGCATTCTCCTATTCCCCCCCTAATCTGTTTCACCTAAGACACTAGCCATTTCCATAAAACATTCCCTCTTCCAGGAAGAAGAGGTTGGGAAACCAGAAAAGTGTGGTCTTCACCTCAGCACAAGCCACTGAGGCATAGACTCCTTCTGGACATCATGGATGCCACCCCATATGTCTATCAGGGTGCTTCTAAAACGGGGTGCAGGGACTGGCCAGACAATACCGTAGGAATAGTAGGCAGACACACCTCCTTCCTCCAGACAGCCCCTATGGAGAGTAATGAACAGGCTCTTGCTTGAGGAAGAACAGCAGAGCCTTCAGCCTCTCAAAACATATAGGAGCTCAGAAGATCCTTATGTCAACAATGCAGAGGGCAAACTGTGTTTAGTTGCAGGGGAAGTTGGGGGTATGCCCCATTCCCTCACTTTTATGTTCCTTTCCCTAGATAAGGCAGGATCTCCTCTTAGGAAAAAGGGTTGCTCTTGTTGGGGTTATGGGTTTTTTTGCTCAATATACTTGGAAATTAAAGTTACTGACCCTATCTCTGGCCTTACCTTTGAGACTCTTGAGAGTGAGAGAGTTCCTTAATTCCTCAGGTGGCAGAGGTGGGCAAAGGATAGGGAAAAAGAAGCATGGGTGAATAACTAACTCCTTTTACCCCAATCCTGAAAGGGAGACTGACTTCTGGAAAATGCTTAACCCCCAGTGTCTGAAATGTTAGACCACAAGCCCAGGTTTCTGCCCTTGCACCAAAGGTATGCTTGAAGAGGATCAGAGGTTGCCAGGTTAGGAAGGAGGATGAGCACAAGACATGAGGAGGAAAAAATCTCAATTAACGTGTTATCCCCACCCTTAAGAGCCAAGTTCCCCCACAATTATAAAGTCTCTTTTATTATTCAAAATCACAATCACCTTGATTAAAAGGATGGGACACGCCATTCTCAGCAGAAAATGATACAGTTTATAGAAAAAAATTCCCCACCCACTCCCAGTTAAAAATTAGAAAAAATATGCCCTCCTTCCCTGCGATGTCATGGTAGTCTGACTTCTCCAGTGGCACTGCAGCTCTGGAGTGGGCCAGCTCACCGCAGCACCCTCCACTTCACCTTGGGGAGAGGAGGGATGCTGGTGGTCAAGGAGGTTAAACCATTAGTTCCAGTAATACCAGTTCCCAAACATGCACGTTCTTCCTTTCCCCACAAGGCCGGGGACCAAGGGGAAAGGTGGATAGGTATGAGCCCAGCCATAGGAGCAATTTTGAGGAGGGAAAATAATAGTCCAAGGAGGATAGGAGAAGAATTGCAACACACCTCCTACCTCCCCCAACTCAAAATAAAAAGGCAGTTTGGGGTCTTTATCACACCAAAAATGGCTTCTCTCAGACCTGAGAAAAAGACCAAGATGTACAGTCTGGAGAGGGGGTACTGGGAAACTCAGAGCTCATCTGCCCTTGAGCCTCCATTGATTTCATCTCCATGGCAATGGCTAAGCTAGGTCCCTTTTCTTGGCAACCTGCACTGTCCAGAACTAGAGATGGAGAAATACAGGGCGAGGAGATCAGGAGGGCACCCCAGGCCCAGGGGTTCCCCCCAGGTTCCCTCAGTCCTCGGGTGGGATGAGCAGGGCAGAATACACCATCACCCGACTGTCCTCCTGCCGTCGGCCTGCAGAGGGGAAGGGGGGTGAGTCTTGTGCAGGGTGAGAGTAGAGCACTGACACATGGGGAGTCGGACAACAAGGGAGTCCCCAAATGGTGGGGATAAGTGCAGACTCAAACCCACCAGTCATTGACTGACTGAACCCAGGCTGCTGCTGGTAAAACCTACAGAGTAAAGGTCCCAAGTGGACAAAGCAAAACCCTGAAGGTGGTGGGACAGACGGACGAGACAGAATGGTGGGCCATGGACCTGGGCTGGGGCTGGGCTCAGTCATGGGCAGTGGGCAGGCAGGTGGGATCTGTCAGGCGATCTGTCCAGGTAGTCATTCCTTACACAAGAGACTGCGCTGGATACTTTGGAGGGACCCTCCAGCTGTGATGAAGGCCCAGAGCCCCATGGAAACAGTGACTGCATAGATGGGCAGCAGGCTGGCCTCATACCAGGGGTTCAGGAATGTCTGAGGATGGGAATGAGTAAAAAAGAGGTCAGATTCTCCCTCTGCCTAATGCCCATATTCTCTTTGTGCCTTTGACCCAAACATCTCACTCAAATCCCCGTGACCTTCCCTTCATAGCACCAATACAGTGGTTGAGAGGACTTCTGATCTTCCGCTCCCCCCGAGGTTTCTGCCACTCCTGCTCACCTCAAGCCATCTATATGACAGTTGATTAACCCATTCAAACTCCTCCCAGAGCATCCCCAGAGCAGGTCACACACTGATGGTGAGGTGAGAGACCTCTAAAGACTTGCCTTTCTGCCTCCTCCCAAGAGAAATTGTTAAAGGTTAACAAGTGAAGATTAATTCCCCTTCCTCCCACTCACCATTAAATTCTTTTCTCTCTGAACTCAGGCCTCTGTCCCCAACTCACCAGTCCTGATGTCAGTAGGTGACTCCCAACAACCAGGCCCAAAGCCCAGTACCGTCTCCTCTCACAGGCATCAAAGAACACAACTCCCCAAAAGGTATGGAGCAGGATAATGGCTGCTGTCAGGAAGGCTGCAGAGAGGGAGATGGGGATGAGAGACATCCCTCATCTTCTCCCAGCCTCCTGAGACGTTGAGCCAAAATAGTCTCCCAAGGAGAGCAAATGCAATAAATCAGATGAAGAGCAGGGATGAGTAGTACATGAAGGCAAGATGAAAAGTGGATCTTACCTGATGTCAGGAAGTAATAGGGTGAGTCTCCATGGATCCCAACCACACCAGGCCCAAGTGCATCAGCCAAAATATTGATAACAGAGAAGACACCACTGATGATACCGAAGGAAAGACCAGAAACTGGGGGGAGGGAGGGTCTCATCAATGTCAGAGATCACTACAGCCTGATTACTAGTAATCCACCCCCATTCCCGGTCCCAGTTTCCCCACACCTACTCTCCCTCCAGACCACCTCTCCTTTGAAGTCATGTATGAAGGAAAAGAAGCCAAAGGGATGTTTAGAGACCTCCCTGGGAGAGGGGGTGGTCCAACTCCCTCCTCCAGTCCCTCTCCCTTGGCTCACCATAGGCCATCTGGCGGATGGAGATGGGTGATCTTCCGTCCTCACTCAGCGATGCTAACCCCTCATCTGCCTTCCTGGGATGGGGTGGGGTGGGGTGGGGTGAGGGAAACATGAGGGAGGGCAGGATGCTCCTTTCCCTCTAATGTCCTCCCTTAGTGCCTCCTCTTCCAAACCACCACCCAGGGGCTTCCCCACTTCTCCTAGAACAATCCTCTACCGTTCTCCCCTCCAGACCATCCCATCTTCTTACTTAAGCAGCTTGTAGTAGGCAAAACGGAACACCTCCTGTAGAAGAACGGAGACAGCAGCACCAAAAATCAGGAGGCCATACTGGAGGCGGGCATCTGACGGGTCAGTCACATGGACTAAGATGAACCAGACCACAGAAGCCAAGAGCAGGGAGACCAGCCAGAAAAATGCCCTGAGGAAAGACAAGGGCAATCAGACAAGCAAGGACAGGAGCAGCCAGAAGAATCAAGGTGGTGAACCAACCAAGACTGCAGCATGAAAAGTGGAAGTTAGACTCCGGGATGGCCAGGGAAACAGGGAGGAGAGAGAGTCTGTAGGGATCTGGACGCAGGGGAAGGAATAGAAATCTGATTAAAGAGTCTTCTGAGCGATGGGAGCCAGAGTGTACGAGCACAGGAGGGCAAAGGATCCGTTCCTGGATCCTCCCTTAGGGCCAGCGGAAGTCAGCACAGCCCCCTCACCAGTCCTGGCCCTGGGTCTCCTCTGGCGTCGTCGGGAGGGGCACAGGGGGAATCAGTGCGATCCCTGGAAGGCGGAAACCAACTGCGGGAACAGGCAAAACACCCAGACCCCAGATTCAACCCTTTCCAATCTTCACCTTCGACCTGTCTCCCCCAACTCTTGCTCCCAGGCTCAACCCAGTTCCTCCAGCCTCTTCCGGAATCACTCTCTCCGACACCCTCCCGCGTCTCCCCGACCCCCTACTCACCCCGCGACCAGGATGATGACGCGAAGCGGGTCTCCAGCCACAGTGATCAAGAAAAGCGCAAAGGCCGGGCCAAAAGCAACGAAAGTGCATCCGAAAAACACTGCGGCCCCCATGGCTGGGCAGCTGGGGGCGGGGTGGAGGCCTGGCCAAGAGCTACGAATGGGAGTCCGTACTAACGGCCAGCTAGGGAGTCCGTGGGGCGGTGACGCGACCCCGTGAGGGGCGCGGCGCAATGTCACCCCCGGACCCCAGAAAGGGGGTTGGGCGGGGCCGGGGGAATCACCGAAACCCCAGATACAGGTCCGCGCGACTTCCTCTACGGAAGCCGAGGAGGGGACAACCCGGCCGCAGTCCCATGGCCACCTCCCGTCTAATCCCCACCCCCAGCAGGCCAATGGAGAATCGGCGGGGCAGGGCTGCATGACCTGTTGGGAGTTGTAGTCCTCTTGTCCTGAGCCCTCGACCCTCGGTCCTACGAGTGGCTAGAGCCGGTTGAAGGGAGTGAGCCAGGACTGGGCCGGGGCGGAGTACGGGCTCCTGGGTTCGGGGGGCCCTTGGCTGTGGTTTTCTCTCGTTCTGTTGTGGGGAAGAGTGATGGCGATCCTACCTTGTCTTGAAGAGCTGCAAACAGGGGAAGATCCTGTTGGAACCTCAGGGACAAATACAAAGAGCACAGGATAGGAGGTGCAGGGAGATAGGGACGGGTATTGTTCTTACTTGAATGAGAGGAAATGGGCTAGAGCTACTGCCTAAGAGTTGACGGTTAAGCTTAAAAGTAGTACTTTGAACAGGCTAGTATAGGAAGCATGCAGTATAGTAACTATTGCTAATGAAGGCTACATCTACAATGACAAGAGAGTAAGAGAGAAGTAAGGGGATAATGTTAGGAGGGAGGTTGGAAGGGATTGAGTTAAAATTGTAAAAAGCAATTAGAGCTATGAAGTTGAAGGAAAACGACCCCCTCCCCAAGTCACTCAGTTCCTTTTGACATACTTCCTATATTTATTTTCTGGAAATGAACCACAGTAGTGTCTTTTCCTCTGGGGTGGGAGGGGGAAGGGGTAGGAATTGCATATTAGAATGAAAGAAAGTTAAAGTGGGGGAGAAGAGTATTGCAACCTCATTTGGATGCGGGTTAGTCTTCAGGGAGAATGTTTAGGCAAAATAGTACCAAGACAGGGAAATGAGGGCATATGAAATATTGTTTTTGAGAGAGTAATCGAAGAACCAAAAAAGTATATAAATTGTTCAGAGAAAACCAGAATTCCTTTCCTAACTGGAAGTGATGTATGACTTAATGTATATGTGTACATCTACATAAGTGTTTTACATTTTTTTCCAGGAAAGGAGCTGAAGGAGTAGATTGTATAGTTTTACAGAGTCACCAAACAAATCCTCCCCCAATATGGTTGAGATGTTGGGAGCATCCCAGGCAGTGCTCAAGACTCCAGTGGGCCTTGCTTCTGAGCCTAGCAGGCCAAGTCAGGGGAATGATAGGATAAGGCAACTCTTTTCATTTCTCCTTTGGGCTGTTACCATAGCATCTTTAGACTGATGAGGTCAGGCACCAAACCTATCTTGTTCATGGGTGGTTCCACAGAGACTTTCATAGTACCTGGCGTATAGAAGATGTTGGATAGATATTTGTTAACTCCCTTTAAAAAAAAAAAAACAACTGTATTCTTTTCTTATTCCCTTGCCTGTGAACCTTGAATGGCCTATCAGACTAAGCCTAGCACATATTACTAAATGTTTCTGAACTGAATTGAACAAAATGGGAAACAAAAGCAGAGGAAGGGTAAGATGAACTCTATTTCTGTAGGCTGGAATGAAGGGAACACACCAAGTAGCTGGAATGGCAGAAGGCGCATGGCATCTACAGGAAAGAGACTGCTTCTTCCCTTCTTCCATCCCGTATCCAGAAAGTTGAGAAGGAGGTGGATGGAGTAAGGTGAGGTCAGTACTTAACAGAGAGGAAATAATTGGACATGGCTAAGAGATTTTTATCAGAAGCAATATAGCAGGTGCTTCAAGAGCCAGACAATGGTGTTGCTATTGCTTCCATACTTCATAATCCAAGACAAGCAGAGAAGAGGGACTTCTCCAGTCTAGAAAAATGTTCATCCTTCCTCAGAACATTTCAACTGTGAAGAAAGAGATTGTGCTTAAGCCTCAGAGAGATGGTGATGGTAAATCAGGAACAGTGAGAGGGAGGGTGAGCTTTTTGTGAGGGTTAGGAAAGTAGGGGAAAGGGGAAGCTTCTTGTTTGGGGGAGGTGTTGCTGTTTTGTTTGTTTCTGTTTTGTTTTGGCAGGTGTGATGGAGTCCTGAACGGGTCTAATCTAGGGCTGGAGTTGCTCAGGAACATTTTCACATCAAAACCCACTTTGCCTCTCTTAATCTGGGCAGCTCTGGCTGAGGACCAGACCGGTAGTAACTGATGATCCAGTCAGTCAGCAAGTGGGCGGGAGAAATCTATCCCCTGGGAGAAGAGTTGCTGCAGCTCCCTCCCTGCTTTGGAGGAGGGCAGGAGGCGGAGTAAGTTTGGTGAGAAACACTGTAATTTCCTTTTTTACTTTCACAGCAATAGTGCGGTATCCAGAATGGATGTCCTCTTTGTAGCCATTCTTGCTGTGCCACTTATCCTGGGTAAGTTCACTTCTCTTCCTGAGCTTTTGGACCAGGTCTTCCACCATAAATGGGGTGGGAGAAAAGCAGATGCAATTCAGTGCAATGGGGAGTGATAACACGCCTTCATCTGTGCTAGAGTCCAGTGTAGAGAGTGGAGGATGGTCTTGAAAGTTGAGCCAGGAAAAGGGGATGAAAGCAGAGCCCAGAGACAGCTGATGGGGATGGAGCCCCAGATGTGAGGTCACAATAAGAGTGACCTCAGCTCCCCATTACCACAGAGTTGAGCGAGATGCAAGGAACTAAAGTGAGCATGAAGGAGAGAGGGGACCTCTTTGAAGGTGAGGGAGGACTCTCTAGTGAGGGAGGCTCGACTATCTTCTTTCCCCGAGGGTTGGAGAAAAACCCTTGAATTAGTGAAGACATAGAAGTGGGGTGGCCTTTAGGGTAGTGGAGAACTGGCTGCCCTTAGTTCCCCTGAGACTGGAGAACAGGGCCCCCAAAGGAGCTTGGCTCCTTCCCTCCTTTGTTCCTGGTCAGCCAGGTGCTCACATTGTTTCCTTTTCCTCCAGTTGCCTGTGTCATTGCTTGGGGTTAAGGGAGAACTTTCAAGGAGCTTAGGGAAGTGTTTAGCAGGAGGCCTAGTTCTTGATCCAATCATGTCAAAGCCACATATTTTTAGTCCTGGGAAGGAAGAAAAACTAATGCATCTGGTTTATGTAGTCCAGCTGACTCATCTGAAGAAAACGGATGTTAACTGGCATGTTCAAGGCTTTTCCCACTAGTTAGCAGTGAATCTGGAACTAAAACTCAAGTGCAAAAGCCTACATGTGTATTCTTTGTGAGAGACACTGATAAAAAAGGATCTCTCACACATACAGTGCAGTATGGAGCATACTGAGGAGTAAAGTTGGAGTTCTTAGTCTCTGATCTCTCTCAGCTTCCTACCCTTTTTAAGTTTATTTCTCATTTGGAGTTTACAGTTAGTGAAGAGACCTGTTTTCTGTTCTGAGAGTTGCTGGGTTGAAAGGGCCCAGAGTAACAGGCCTCATCACAGATACGCGAGCCAGAAGACTGAGAAGGGTTTAGAAGTGCACAGGCAGAGAGATAGTAGGACCCTTGGAGGGGAGGCAGAGAGAAAAAAACTGATAGAGCCAAGAGCAACTTCAGTTGTCTTTCTGCTGTTAAGGAGTTCCAGATGCCCCGTGACCTCTAGCCCTTGTCCCCATAGGACAAGAATATGAGGATGAAGAAGGACTGGAAGAGGATGATTACTATCAGGTGGTCTATTATTACACAGTAACCCCTAATTATGGTGAGTATGTACAAGGTTCTGACCATCATCAGGATGGAGAGAGGTTTGGGTGATACTTAGTTCTGAGACTTTGCTTTTCCCTTTGCAAATGGAGTGACTGGACCAGAGAGAAATTTGGCTCTGAGTAAAGACTATCAAAACTTATGATATTATCTCCTTAAGCTAGCAATTTCCAATTCTTTGGAAACTGGTTGGAACAATTTGAAATTTTTCAAATTTGTAAATTGTTAGATATCAGATTGAAAATATAAATGCAGATACATTCACAAACATTGCTAACATTAAAGTTCATTAGAATTAGATTACACCAGTAAATTTTATAACTTGAGCAAGTTGAAGTGTTCTGAGCAGTTCCTACTTCTCATTTCTAGATCTAGTGCTTTCTCCTTTGTTACTACTGATTTTTTCTCCTCTCCAGATGACTTTGGTGCGAATTTCACTGTTGATTACTCCATGTTTGAATCAGAGGACAGGCTGGTGAGCGACCTCTACATCTAAGAGGGTCAGGATAGGTAACAGTTAAAAAGAAACTGGGCAATGTAGAAATACAAATGATTAGCAGAAATAAAAATGGGTTAAGGGAAAGGAAACTAGGTAGTGGTCCCCATACAGATTTATAACCACAGCTGGGGAGGAAAATAAAGCCACAACCCAGTGTTTCCTAAAACACTCAGAGGGAGGGACAGTCCTGAGTAAGGGAACTGGTGAATGGGATGGGCACATAATCCATGCAAATGTAAAGTAGGGAGGATCCCAGAGTTTAAGTCTTGGTGTGGGATGGTGGTAAAGGAGAGGAGGACTCCTAAATAGGAATTAAAAGACTCTGAAATAGGAATTGCTAAAAAGGAATCTATGAGGGTGTTGGGTGGTGGCACTGGTAACTCTGTCTTTCTCAATCCTACTGAGGGCAGAACAGGTTGGATAAGGAGGTAACGGAAGCACTAGAGACTACCATTAGTCGTGAAACAGAACGTGCAGACTATCAGAAGCCTGTAACAGTGAGACCAGTGACAATGGAACCAGTGAGTAGACTGGAAATAAGTAGGGGAGGGACAAGGACAAGACATCCCTTACCCTGGATAGATCCCAGCTGGTGACATGGAGCAGAGGGAGGGCTGGAATAGCAGGCTTCAATGGATGGGGAACCAAATAACTAATACTGCAATGCTGGTGTTCATCGCAGCCTGGCCATCATACCTATCACTGTGATTGAGTACTAACCCTGTATACAGAATACTGGGAAGATTTAGTGCAGTTAAATTTCAGATCAATGGTACTTGATGTGTATGTGACCTATGCCTCAAGCTGCTAAGGATGCTGGTGCTGATCAAAAAGAAATCTATGATGATGTTAGTGCCCTCTGTAAAACTTAAGTTACACTTAAGGTTTATGATAGTGTTGAAGTACATAAAAATTTGAGAGCATATAACATAGACAGTGCTTTAGGCAGTGGAAGGAGAGAGATCAATATAGGCTGGAGTTGTCTGGAAGACTTAGTTGGTGATTGTGCTTGAGATATACTTTGAACAATAGGTGAGCTTTTGACTGGCACTAAGTTGTGAAAATATGAAAGCAATTAGAAAGAAGAATAGTTATTCCAAGAGTGAAACAGCTGCATAGGTGAGGAGGCTAGAACAAACATGGTCAGTGAATAGCATATGGTTGAAGGAGAGGGTATGTAGAAAGGAACAGTGGAAAATTAAGAAAGAAACAAAATTTACAAGGCTTCTAATATGTGCTTAGTAGTTTCACATATGGCAAGATAGGGCCAAATTACAGAGAGTCTAAAGTGTTAGGCTAAAGGGAGCCTAGTAAGTTCTTCAGTGGAGTAAAGACAAAATGAAAGTGGTATTTTAGAAAAACTTCAGTTGTATGGGGGATGCAATGGAATAGAGAGGGACTCCTGATATTTGCATTATTCCAAAAGCAATCCATTAAAGGCTTGGGCTAGGGAAGTTGCATGTTGAATGGTGAGGGAAAAAAATAAATAATTTGAAGATGTCTTGCTTCAGTGATAATTTCATATGAGAAATAATTGAGGAGAGAGTTAAATATGACTTAAGTTCTAAACATGTATGTCTGGAGAAATAGCTGACAAAATGGGAACTGTTGGAGGTCAGAGTGGTTTAAGAGTAAGGGTATTAATTTGGTATTGGCCAAGTAGATTTATAGTGACAGCCCTGTGAGGGTGTCCTAAAGATAGCTGAACTAGCTGCCAAGGAGCCAAAAGAAAAGGAGGTTATAGGCAACCTCAAAGAAAGCAGTTTTAATTGAATGGTTATAGCAAAAGCCAGATTTCTGTGGAGTTAGAGAGGGAGTACATTGTGAAGAAGTGGAGCGAGAGTATAGACCAATCATTTGAGAAATGCCGTAGTGAAGAAAGAGAAGTAATTGCTAGAAAGAGAGACAGGATCAAAGTGCAACCTGAATATGGTTGAACACAGATGGGAGGAGTCAGGAGGAACAGGAAGCTAATGATTGATGACTAAAACAGATAAGTATTTTAAGGTATGTAGTAGGCTACCGTTAGATCCTAAACTTCTTGAGGCCAAGAGCCATGTCTTCATCATATTTAAGCCCCCCTGTAGTACCTAACACAGTGGCTAGCAGAATGTCATGCATATAACAGATAAAAAGTACATGTTGAATTGGGTTGAGCCTCACTGGTATGGTCAGGAATGGCTCAGAGGCACAGAGGAAAGGATTCCTTATAGTGATGAGAGGGCTGGATCTTTTTCTAAGCTGAGAGGAAAGGAACACAGAAAGGTTGGTGTAAGGAGATGGCTAGCCCTCCTGGGGTGGGGAGTGGTGGGTGGTAGGAAGCATGACACTGGCCTACTGTGAGGGGATGTCTGTATTTTAGCAGAGTCCAGATCTGAATGATGCTGTATCCAGTCTGCAGAGTCCTGTTTCCATCCTCCTGTCCTGGGCCCTCGTTCAGGGTGGGATGTATTTCATGTAGAAGGTGAGAGTGCAGCCACTGGCCTTGGGGTAGTCTGTGAAGCAACTTTCTTTTAAATTTTTTATTAAGGTATTATTGATATACACTCTTATGAAGGTTTCACATGAAAAAACAATGTGGTTACTACATTTACCCATATTATCAAGTCCCCACCCATACCCCAATGCAGTCACTGTCCATCAGTGTAGTAAGATGCCACAGATTCACTATTTGCCTGTGAAGCAATTTTTATCAGTGTCTCTGGCTAGTGTTTCCAGCCTCATCAATTCTGAGCTGCATAAAGGAAGAGGAATCACATTTAGAAAAAATCTCACTATCTAACTGAAAGAGGCTTAGGAGATGCTGAGGCAAAGACTTTTGTAATAAGAGTCATTACTTTTCTGAACCGGGAGGACTCCAGGACCTCCCAAAGCGGAAGCAGGTGGAATAGAGAAGAAACCTCTCCAAGTTTCCAGTCTGCCTTGAGGAATCAAAGCTGGCTCCAGCTTGGCTGTGGTTTAAGGCATGGCAGGTGCCAGAAGGCAAAAAGGGAAGGGCCCTGAAACCCAGTAGAGCCAAGAGACAAAGTTCAGAGGCAGAAGGGGTGGTGGTTCTCTGTGGTAGAAGGTACGAGATGGTGAAGGAAAGGAAGAGGGAACAGAAACCTGTATTACATGGAAGGAATTTAAGTTAGGACTCTAACTATGGGGCATGAAGAAATTTAGAAGGAAGGAGTGAAGAGGGGAGAGAGTATATCTTCCAAGAAATGTCATGGGGAAATCCAGCTCAGAATATGAAGTCTGGGGAGTTTTCATAGAGGTGGGGGGTAGAGAGAGGCTAGCTTAGTCTCCTAACCCTGTTTTATTTTGCTTTTTCCTTTCCTTGCTTTTGTAGGAGAGAGAAGGCTGCTACAACTCTGTAGATGGGGATTTGGGAAGAGGAAATTGGAAGATAAAATAAATAAGTGAAATAATCTGGCCACTCTAGTACTGCATGAGGGTCTGTTCTAAAGACAAAACACTAAGGAGCGCACCAAAATATGCCTGTGGGAAGAGTAGATTACAAAAGGAGTTAGGTGACTATAGAATTTGGGGGAATTATTAGGAATGTGAATAAACCTTAAGTTTGGAAGATGGAGAAGAGCACCCACAAACAGCAGATTTGTTCAGTCCATAATCCCCTCTAATTCTATTGTTTTGTTTTATTATATATGGTGTTGAGACTGGAGGGAAATGGAGTTGAGGTTTATGTATAATTTTTTTTTATAAAATAAGCACATTGTTAAACATATGTAAAATGTTAAGAACTACTTAAAATAGATTTTTAGAATCACACCCTCCTCCACTTACCCTCCCCTCCCCCACCAACAACGTGCCTCTTCCAGTTAGTAATTAGGACAGGCAGGGACAAACCTACAGAAATTTTCTCCATGCTAGAGATCCTAATCAGAACTTGGCTGCCCCCTTGCGGTCTCTTCGAGATCAGCTTCCATCAGCCCACATCCCCTACCCCCTTGTCTCCAGCGTACTCTCACAATACTCTAAGGGGCAGAAAATAGTAAATTCAGTACGCTGTAAACTCCGGACTTGCCCCCCTCCCTCCTTCAAAGCCTTTCGAGTCTTCTCCAGGGGACAGTGAAGCTGGACAAAAGCATCAGACACCTACCCTCACTCCGTTCCCTGCGCTAGGAATCACAGATTTCAGAGCTCAGGGTCCGGGAAGCCCGAATAGAAAAGTCAGGAACAACCGAGTTCGGTTTTGACCTCTAAAGTCGTGGAGGGCTGGCATCTGAGCTGGTAACGTGCTTGGTGGGTTATGTAAGGAAAGGGCTGGAGGAGCCGCCCCAGCGGGAGCCCGAGAGGGCGTAGTGTTCTCGGTGGCAGCCTCTACCCTCCTCACCCAGCAGGGTAGGAGGCACCCACCCAACTTGGAGAAGGAGGAAAGGTGGGTGAAGCCGAAACCGGAGAGCCACAATGGCTGCGCTGCCGAAACGAGCAGAGTGTACACAGAGGCACACATTCATTCTCACACACGTTGCAGACCCAAGTAGCTGATGCCTTCCACGTGCTGCAGTCGTGAGCAGAGCACCTCAAAGGGGGTAGAGGGATCGGCTCTCTAGGAGCAGCCGAGAGTCCCGCATCCCGAGAGACTCGCCTCAGGTCACGCAACCAGTCTGTACACTCCAGCCTCGTGTCCCCGGCGCCCACCATCCTATTTAAGGCCACGAGCTCCGCCCTTTTCACCCCTCCCTATTTTTCCACTTTCCATCCGCCTCCTCCTCTCCTCATCGGGTCCTCCAAGCTAGACGCATGTAGGGGCGGAGCACGAAATACTTCCTTCCAGCCAATTGTCATCCGACTGCCTTTCTATTGGCCTAGCCCCTGTGAACTTCTGTAACAAGAGCCACGTGCCGCCGGCTAGGAAACCAATGAGGGTGCGGGGTCTGTGTATGCAGGGGGGAGGCACGTGCCAAGCTGCACGTGTCTGGGAGGGGGTTAGGGGCGGAACCCAGTGAGAAAGAGGCGGAGGTGGGTAGTCGAGACCTGGGGAGTCGGAGGAGCTGGAGGAAACCTGGGACGATTCGAGTGACACAGGTGAGGAGACTCGGAGGACAGAGAGCGATCCGCGAGGTAAATCAGACCAAGGAGGGTTTAGAGACCTAACGCAGATCTTGGTATGGGAGGGGTCACGTCACGTGACTTGCGCGCCGGGAGCGAGTCCGGCGCGGAAAACCTGACAATGATTGGGAAGAGGCGGGAGGTCTCTGTGGGAGACGGTTCCTGCAGGGTTACTAGGTGGGTTCCGGTTTCCGGACGTCATCTCAGGTGGAGAGGTTCGCGGTGTGGTCTGTCTGGGAACAGACCACGTGAAGGACGGGCCGGGGGAAGGTGTAAAGTCAGGTAATTCACTCTGAACTGAGGGGAGAAAAAACTTAAGAACTGATCTCTGGAGGCCAGCAAGGCAGTACAGGTCTTTAATGGGGGGTTTGGGGGGATAACTTCTTTTGTCTTCTGAGACAGGTAATACTGGGGAGGGAGGGAGGGAAGAGAGATTATTATCCGTGCAGTATACCCCAGTCTTCCAGTATATTTCTAATCCTCAGATTCTGGTTACAGATTTATTTGCTTTGCTCTCCAGTTGCAGGTTTCCATCTCTGGGTGCCCCGGGAGCTGCTTTCCAGCCCCTGCTTCTGAACCTATGGATTCTCCGTCTAGCGTTTCTTCCTATTCTTCCTACTCTCACTTTTCCTCTTTGTCCACCTCCCCAGTGAACAATGACTTTGGCTTCCCCTCCGATAGTGAGGAGGAGGACAAGAGGGCCCACGGCCCCAGGTCAGACACTATTGGGCAGAGGGGAGGTTCCCGGCCCCGTCCCGGTCCTATCCGCTGCAGGCAACGACCCAAGCTTTCCAGGAACCAGCATACAGCATCTCACTCAGGCCAACGGAACTTAGCTTCTCCCATGGCTGGATCCGGGGTCAAAAGATCAAGAGATGGTGAATTGGAGAACATTCTAAACATCCAGGGTTGTACCACAGAAGGAGACATGCTATTTGCTCAGAAGGTAAGAGAAAGCTGAGGAAAAGACACATGCTACTGGAGTGGCTTAGCACCCAGCCATTGCTAAGGACTTTATAAGGATAGTACTGGCTCCCAGATTTGGAAGTGGAAGGATCAGTACTGGTACGTGCAATTCTTAGTCGTTTTAAAGCCTTTGTTCTGACTTCCTACAGTGTAAAGAGCTCCAAGGATTCATACGCCCTCTCACAGATCTACTGAATGGGCTGAAGATGGGTCGCTTTGAGAGAGGTAATTATGTGGTCAGTTGTATTCATGTAGGCTCGGTTCATCTCTCAATCTCTCGCTCTCTCTCTTTTAATTGTGTAGTTCTCTTAAGTCTTTGGGTCCTGGGTTATCCCTTTTTTGCTTCTGTATATAATTTCTTAAAGTGAATCAATTTTAACACTCTTGTATCCTTCCTTTACCTATTTCTTGACTCTTAATCCTTGCTCTCTTTCCTTCTCCCTGACTCCAGGATTGAGCAGTTTCCAACAGAGTGTGGCAATGGACAGGATCCAGCGTATTGTAGGTGTTCTGCAAAAGCCACAGATGGGGTAAGTCTCCCTGGTTCTTTCCTCAGTACTTCATAAAAAAGGGAGATATCTCTAATCCTGTCTTGTTGGGGTTTTTTCCACACTTAATGGCTTTTTTAAAAAAATGTCTTTTTCACAGGGAACGTTACCTAGGAACACTACTACAGGTAGAAGGGATGTTGAAGACTTGGTTTCCTCATATAGTTGCCCAGAAGTCATCATTGAGCAGTAGTAACAGGCAACAGCTGACCAAGGTAAGAACTTATAAACCTGAGGAAGAGGTCAGAAAATAACTAAAGAAATGAAGTGTACATGCAGAAATGGGCTCCCTGTTCCATTTTTTTCTGAATCTTTTCCTCTTTTCAACAAGTTTCTTTTCAAGGATGGGAATGCCTAACCTTCCTTCATTTTTTTGATTCCTAGATATTTTTTGTTATTTTGTTCAGACCACTGTGAAGAAGTACATGAAGTTTAATTCTATCCCTCATGCTGCAGCTTACGTGCTTTCTGCATAGATACAGAAGGCTTTATACCTGAGCATATGAGTCATGCAGGGAGATTCCTCAGCTTCTTTCTGGAAATCTTTGTTCCTCTTCTGCCCCTAAAATCCTCTCTTTTCTTTATTTACTCCTGCCCAAATATCCTTGTACTAAACCCTTTGAAACCATGGGTTTCAAGAATGGGTCATATGAGGGGAGGAGGGTACCTGTAGGGCACTCAGAGTGCAAGTATTAGACAGTTTCTTAGGCCTAATGTGGAAGTGAACTATTTTCTGTGCCTTTAGGTTAAGAGTACTTAGGGGCATTCAAATGATGGGGAGGGGAAAGTCTTGTAGATAATTGATAGTCCTTGTTTTCAATCAACCACAGTTACTGCTGTGGGAATAATTGATTTAAAAATAAGCCAGAGGGTAGGGACTTTATAATGGGGGGAATCTAGTAACCACATGTTGCTCATGTGATTGTATATCAATGATATCTTAATAAAAAAATAAGCCAGAGGATCCACCTGCATATTAATTTACATTTCATAAGGAACTCAACAAAGGAAATTAGAATGTAAAATACAGAAATTAGGAAATTATTCCAATTAAAAATAGGCTTTTAAAAAAGAAGTTCTAAAATGAATTTTTTTATAAATAGTGAGAACCTAAGGGACTGTTTTATTTTGTATATGCACAGATATCCAGGGCCTGATACAGTTTGTGGTTCAAAGTGTGCCCTCGAGTATTTGTTAAATAAATGAAAGTACAGTTTGGTTATTAAAACTTTTACTTAATTTCTTGCCAGACCATAGTTATCTGTTGCATATAAAACAAGGTATATTTGCATTGTAGAGTTCCCAAGAAAAACAAAGGTATAAGCAACCAGGTATAGTTTAACCTGAAAGCCTTTCTCACATCATTTTTTTTCTCTTTTTGCCCCATTCCTAGCATTTTCCAAGCCGCCACAGTTATCTAGCTGCTTCATCTCCTGAATTTCCCATAAACAAGATGGACCAGACACAGATAGGACATCTAGTATTGAGACAAAAGCAGCCTTGGCACCTCACTGAGTGGCCAACTTTGAACCTCACTTGGATCCACACGACTCCAATTTGCAACCCTCCTCTCAGTTCCCCAGCCACTGTCTCCTTTAGCCACAGTCCCATAGGCATTAGCACTAGCATTGGTGTCATCGTTTTCCTCCAGCATGGAGTGCGGCCTTTTATCCACTGTGCCCCAACTGCTCCAGTTCCCTCTACTGCGGTATCTCCTATCATCTCTGGTGATCCTAAGAAACTCTCTGGAGAGGGGCCTCATTGCCACAATTTGCCAGGAACTCTGCCGTCTGACTGGAGCTGTACCTTATCCCCTCCTGGTAGACCCAGCATGGCCAGAGAGATGACCACCAGCCGCCTAGAGCCATCTACCAGTTGCTCCTGATGTCCATCCTCTCAACCCCTAATCCAGAACTTTAGATTGTAGTTTCTAATTTGCATAAATACATAGATAACTTTTTTTTTTACTTTTAATGTGTGCAATTATGAGAGGAGAGAAATCCTTTCTGATTATAGAAATTTTATACTTAAACAGTTTGCTGATTGGAGGAAATTGAAACCTGCTTCACAGACCACTGTTTATCCTCTAGCTGCATAGAAGAAAAGGGATGGGAACATGAGCTCTACAAGGTGGAAGTCTGGATGAGACAATATAAGGGCTGTGGGAGAGGAAAAGGGGCGAACACCCTTGTGACACTTATAAAGTTCAGAGTTGGGTTTGTGTTTTCCTTCAGGCTCAAAAACTAGTACCTTTCCCTTTATATCTCTCACTCTTGTAATCTTGCAGGTGGCCCAGAGTAGTAGGTCCTGCTCTAAGATAAATTTGCTTTGATGGGAGCTGTTGGTGCTTAAGAATAAAAGTATATGTAATCTACTGCTGTCAGAGGAGGGACACAAGAACTGGAATAATTTCTGTGGTTGCCAGTTTTCAAGAGGAAGGAATGCCCTAGAACTGTCTGAATGGGGAGTATCCCCCCAGACACGGCCTCATCCTGACTCAAAAAGCTATAGCTGCCAAATGTATGCCAGACTAAGGAAAGCCTACCTAAGAAGGCAAAAATGAAGTCTGTGTATTTACCTAAATCTACCCTTCATCTATTCCTCTTTATGATTTGTCCCAGTTTCCACCACAACCATGTCCTCTCCCATCCTAAGCCTTAGTAGTGTATCAGACTACTCAGTCTTTTTAGTTTTTGCTTCTTGGCTACTTAGCACATAACTAGTTTCTCAGAGCTAGTTATACATATTCCTCCTATTAAGTCCTCTGTTCTCAGTGCAGACTTGTCTCCTTTTATTTCAGAGACAAGACTTCCTTTCTAAGGCAAATCTCTCCATTTTTACCTTTGATTACCTTTCACCTCTGGAGCTTTTGCTGCATCATTTATCTTCTTTATATCTTGTAACTTCAGTTTGCTATTGGATTGTTTATTCTTTCTCCTGCAAGAGTGATCCTGAGCCTGGCCGTCCTCTTTCTCATTTTTCTCAATAATTCTTGACAAAATAGTCTTATGCTCTTTCTGGCAACTTTCTACTGCTCAATCCTTAACCTTTTGCAGTCAAGCTTCCATTGCTATCTGCTGCACCTTCCAAAGCCACTAGTGATGTCACAGAATCAGAATATTAAAATACAGTTTCTACCCAATTAAGAGCTAGAACAAAGGGTCTTTACAAAAGCTATGTACTTATGCTGTTTTCATCATTTGACACTTGATGCTGTCTACCAAAACTACTCCCTTGGCTCCCATTCGAGCACACTATCGTAACTCTAATAAAAGGAGACAATTGTGCACTGAGAACAGAGGACTTGAGAAATAGGAGGAAGATGTATAACTAGCTCTGAGAAACTAGTTATGTGCTAAGTGTAGCAACTTCTGTACATTTTAATGGCCCTACTTCTGTCTACTCCGGAGTTTGGGGGGTTCCCCTAGGCTCAGTCTTTGACCCCTTTCTCTGACTTTATTCTTTCACCCAAAGGTTTTATCTTTCATGGTTTAATTATTGCCTCAACTTAGAAAACTGCTGAAGCGTCATCTCCAGTCACATGCAGTGTTTCCCCTGAGATGACATAAGGAATATTTAAATTTCTGCTGGACACTTCTATTTATATGTTACCAACACTTAAAGCTTTTATTTCAGCATTTTAGAACCAACAGGTACCATCTGTTTCTAATTAAGTTTTGTAGACTCAGAAAGTTAGCTTGTGCAAGATAACACAACATGTAGTACAGAACTCTTGATTTCCAGTCAGGCATTCTAGTGCTCACCAATCAAAATACTATCTTTCCTCTAAAGATGTCCTGTTGTGCCTTTTTGCAGTCTCTTGTTCTTCTGTTAGTGCTATCTATGATACCATCATTTTTCTAGATAACAGGGTTTAAAACTGGGTACCATTCAGTCACCACATCCTTTTTATTCTGTGTTTGGGATGTCTCTTAAAATCCATTTCTTCCTATCCATTCCATTGCCACCTCTCTAGTCTAAGCTTTGACTATAGCAATCACCTCTCTAATTTTCCTAGAACAGTGCTTTTGCATGTCATTCCCTATTCAGATCCTTCAGTGATTCTCCAATGCTTTGAAAAGAAAGTGCAAAACCTTAGTGAAGGTCTCCATTTCTCCCTCTGCTTCCCTGCATGATCCCTCTGTTCAGTTTTATTTGCCCCTGAACACTAAGCCTTTTTGTCTCTAAAGTCTTGTTCATACTGTTCACCTTGCCCAACCTTTTTTCCTGCTTTGGTTAACTGAAAGTTACCCTTCTTTCAATGACTAACTCAAGTCCTTCTCTCAGTTGTTCTACAGGCTCAGTCTTTGGCACTTTACTCCACCAAATGAGATCATGTGTATAAAATGCCTAGTATAAGGTTTGGTATATAGTAGGCTTGCAAAAATGTTTCTTTCTCCCTTTCTTTCAAAGTATTTTTCTATTGTGTCCTATTTGATTCCCATGACAGTTTGTGTGACTGAGGGAAGATACGCAGATTTTACAGTCCCATTTTACAAATGAGAAAATAGACTAAGAGTTTAAATCAGGGGTCAGAAAGAGCCAGATAGTAAGTATTTTAGAGTCTGTGGGACATATACCAACTACCCAACTCTGCTGTTGTAGCCATTCTTAATATGTAAACAAATGAGCATGGCTATATTCCAATAAAGTTTTATATACAAAAACAGGTGGAGCTGGATTTGACTTGTAGACACTAGTTTGCAGAACCACTGCTTTAAATGACTTATTCAAGGTCATATGCCTGATAAGTATCAGAATTTGGATGGATAGAATCCAGATCTCGACTTCTGATCAAGGCTTTTCCACCATACTATACTTTTGTCTATGTTTTGCATTTGTCATATGCTAATTTGTTTTACTATTTTTCTTTTATGTCTACCTACTGTCTTCTGGTGGTCCAAGAGGCACTGGAATGTATAAACAGTACTTAACACAGAGTATGCATTCAATAAAAGTTTGCGGATAAGCATAATGTCCCAGTTTTGGTAATTTGAACCTGGCGTACTCTGAAACCAGCTGTAGTTTATTTAGCTATTAGCATAACTGATGAGGATGCAATCTGTGTGTGTGTCTGTGTGAGCATGTGCACCTGTGTGTTTTAGTGGAGGTAGCAAAGAAACTCATTACATGAGTACCTGCTTGGGACCCATTTTCTTCTTTTGAGACTTTTCCTACCGTTATCCAGTAGCCACCAGATCTGAACTGTGAATAACCATAAGTGTATATGTATAAGTAACATACAAATAAAATAAAGGAAAGCTTTTTTCAGTTAGGAAGAAATTAAAAAGGTGATTTTTCTACTAGGTCTCACTAAGAGGCAAAAAAGGGATAGAAGCTGACATAAAACAGTCTTCGATTCTAAATCTTGCAGATGTTTCCCAATTCTTTATTTAGTGATTTCACTTTATTTAGTGAAATGGCTGGCCAAGATGATGTTATAGGAAACTTATGGTATGGTAATTTTAAGCAGATGAGGGGTGGGATGCTGTTTTTCATCCGGAGAGCAGATTGTAAAGAATCTGTGTCCTTTGCGAAGAAAAAAACAGGAAGCATGTTCAGGAAGCTTCACCTATTTCTCTTATTTTCCTTCCAGAAAAAGAAATAACTTAAATATATATTACAGACTTAATAGGACTAAGGGGTACAGAATAGGCCTAACTTCAGGGGCCGAACGCTGACGACCCCATGAGAAGGCGAGGAAATTTTGGGTAACAAGGCAAACGAGCATTTTGCTTTGTCAGGTGTAGTGTCCGAGCCTGGGGACGGAGTGGGGGCAGGTAGGTATGGAGAGACTGTCAGCCCGGGCCAGAAAGAATGTTGCCATGGTTTCCACGCGTTTTTTTTTTCCCCCCTTGTTCAGGTCGGTTTTCTAAGCACCGCCCGGCAGATTACGTATTTCCGTTTCCGGTCGCGAGCTGCATTCCTGTCGGCTGGATTTTGAGGGCTCGGGATAAGGGGTTCGTGTTGGGCATGAGGAAAGGGAGGTCGGTGGCGCGGGAGGCAAATATTGCACTCCGTTGCCCCCTTTCCTGAACACCGAGGAAGGCCGTGTTTCCAACTCTCAACCCAAACTTTCCTCGGGCCGTGAGCGGTAATTGCGTAGGGCTCCTGCCGCACGTTCCGGCGGCTCTCCATTGCCCGACCACGTAAATCTCCGTGGCGATGTCCTGCTACCATTTATTTCTTTTCTTCCCTTTGGTAAGGTTTGTATTGGCACAGAGAACGGGGAAGGCTTGACAGCGTTTCGCATGTACTGTTAGGATATGAGGACTGCCACGTGCCCCTGTCTAGCAAGTTCCTGAGTACGTTTTATTAACAGACTCTGAATAAGCCATGCCATAGAGTGTATATTCTGTTGTGTTTCTCATTCTTATCTGGCCTCTATACTTTTCCTCCTCCTTTCTCTATAGTGCAGAGTGAAGACTTAAGTCCAAGGTCATGGCAAAACATCTGAAGTTCATTGCCAGGACTGTGATGGTACAGGACGGGAACGTGGAAGGTGCATACAGGACCCTAAACAGGTAATTTAGTGGACCAAAATCATATCTGTCTCTTGGGAAGTGTGGTAGTTATTCTCTCTTTTTCCCTGTCATAGAGTGTTCGCAATGCTAGCCCAGGTGTTCACAATTGATTGAAACTCCTCAGCCACAGTTTTTTATCTTAATAATGAGGTTCTTAAATCTAACTGTATGAAGCTTATTCATCAGCCATAATTACTTTGATGCCTGAATTCTGTCCAAGACTTTAAAAAGAGCCCAAAGGGAAAATCAAGATATAAAGTTACTAGGAAGCAGGGACATAGTACATGATAAACAAAGCAGAGGGTGGGATTGGTGTGGGACAAGACTAATGAAAAATGGTGAATTCAGATTTGGGATCTTGGGGAAGCAAACAGATGTAAAACGTAACAGTTTTAGAGGAAGGTTATAGCCCAAATAAGAAAATAAAGATGGGAATGAACTGGCTGAAATAGAGGAGCTGTACTGGAAGTTTGAATGCTAGGCTAAGAGATTTAGAATGGCTTTCATAAGAATGCCATAGCACAATACTTGATCAAGCAAGTAGTTCCTTGGGCTTCCCTTATCACCGGTTGTAAAGATTTTCATATTCTGGCATGCTTCAGTCATCATTTTCTTTCCCCAGTGTGAAGCAGAGTTTGGAGAAACAAGTGCTTGTTGAGTTGAAATAACAAAGAATTGTATGAAAGATCTTAAGAGATTATATGAGCCAACCCTCTGCTTAGAGGACAGTAAAGTGATAGCTTTATTTCACAAGTAAGGGCAGCCTAGGAAGATTAAATTGTATTTCTTGTGTCGCACAATTGCTGAACGGTGGAGAGGAGCATAAAAACAGCTTTCTAGTGCAGTGTTCTTTGCTGTATGTTACTAGATTATTTGCTAGTTTCTCTGGAAATGGAGAGATTTGTGGCACTCATTTCATAGTTATGAATCCTCACTTGATTGGAGATAGTCCTTGTTTTCAATCAACCACAGTTACTGCTGTGGGAATAATTGATTTAAAAATAAGCCAGAGGGTAGGGACTTTATAATGGGGGGAATCTAGTAACCACATGTTGCTCATGTGATTGTATATCAATGATATCTTAATAAAAAAATAAGCCAGAGGATCCACCTGCATATTAATTTACATTTCATAAGGAACTCAACAAAGGAAATTAGAATGTAAAATACAGAAATTAGGAAATTATTCCAATTAAAAATAGGCTTTTAAAAAAGAAGTTCTAAAATGAATTTTTTTATAAATAGTGAGAACCTAAGGGACTGTTTTATTTTGTATATGCACAGATATCCAGGGCCTGATACAGTTTGTGGTTCAAAGTGTGCCCTCGAGTATTTGTTAAATAAATGAAAGTACAGTTTGGTTATTAAAACTTTTACTTAATTTCTTGCCAGACCATAGTTATCTGTTGCATATAAAACAAGGTATATTTGCATTGTAGAGTTCCCAAGAAAAACAAAGGTATAAGCAACCAGGTATAGTTTAACCTGAAAGCCTTTCTCACATCATTTTTTTTCTCTTTTTGCCCCATTCCTAGCATTTTCCAAGCCGCCACAGTTATCTAGCTGCTTCATCTCCTGAATTTCCCATAAACAAGATGGACCAGACACAGATAGGACATCTAGTATTGAGACAAAAGCAGCCTTGGCACCTCACTGAGTGGCCAACTTTGAACCTCACTTGGATCCACACGACTCCAATTTGCAACCCTCCTCTCAGTTCCCCAGCCACTGTCTCCTTTAGCCACAGTCCCATAGGCATTAGCACTAGCATTGGTGTCATCGTTTTCCTCCAGCATGGAGTGCGGCCTTTTATCCACTGTGCCCCAACTGCTCCAGTTCCCTCTACTGCGGTATCTCCTATCATCTCTGGTGATCCTAAGAAACTCTCTGGAGAGGGGCCTCATTGCCACAATTTGCCAGGAACTCTGCCGTCTGACTGGAGCTGTACCTTATCCCCTCCTGGTAGACCCAGCATGGCCAGAGAGATGACCACCAGCCGCCTAGAGCCATCTACCAGTTGCTCCTGATGTCCATCCTCTCAACCCCTAATCCAGAACTTTAGATTGTAGTTTCTAATTTGCATAAATACATAGATAACTTTTTTTTTTACTTTTAATGTGTGCAATTATGAGAGGAGAGAAATCCTTTCTGATTATAGAAATTTTATACTTAAACAGTTTGCTGATTGGAGGAAATTGAAACCTGCTTCACAGACCACTGTTTATCCTCTAGCTGCATAGAAGAAAAGGGATGGGAACATGAGCTCTACAAGGTGGAAGTCTGGATGAGACAATATAAGGGCTGTGGGAGAGGAAAAGGGGCGAACACCCTTGTGACACTTATAAAGTTCAGAGTTGGGTTTGTGTTTTCCTTCAGGCTCAAAAACTAGTACCTTTCCCTTTATATCTCTCACTCTTGTAATCTTGCAGGTGGCCCAGAGTAGTAGGTCCTGCTCTAAGATAAATTTGCTTTGATGGGAGCTGTTGGTGCTTAAGAATAAAAGTATATGTAATCTACTGCTGTCAGAGGAGGGACACAAGAACTGGAATAATTTCTGTGGTTGCCAGTTTTCAAGAGGAAGGAATGCCCTAGAACTGTCTGAATGGGGAGTATCCCCCCAGACACGGCCTCATCCTGACTCAAAAAGCTATAGCTGCCAAATGTATGCCAGACTAAGGAAAGCCTACCTAAGAAGGCAAAAATGAAGTCTGTGTATTTACCTAAATCTACCCTTCATCTATTCCTCTTTATGATTTGTCCCAGTTTCCACCACAACCATGTCCTCTCCCATCCTAAGCCTTAGTAGTGTATCAGACTACTCAGTCTTTTTAGTTTTTGCTTCTTGGCTACTTAGCACATAACTAGTTTCTCAGAGCTAGTTATACATATTCCTCCTATTAAGTCCTCTGTTCTCAGTGCAGACTTGTCTCCTTTTATTTCAGAGACAAGACTTCCTTTCTAAGGCAAATCTCTCCATTTTTACCTTTGATTACCTTTCACCTCTGGAGCTTTTGCTGCATCATTTATCTTCTTTATATCTTGTAACTTCAGTTTGCTATTGGATTGTTTATTCTTTCTCCTGCAAGAGTGATCCTGAGCCTGGCCGTCCTCTTTCTCATTTTTCTCAATAATTCTTGACAAAATAGTCTTATGCTCTTTCTGGCAACTTTCTACTGCTCAATCCTTAACCTTTTGCAGTCAAGCTTCCATTGCTATCTGCTGCACCTTCCAAAGCCACTAGTGATGTCACAGAATCAGAATATTAAAATACAGTTTCTACCCAATTAAGAGCTAGAACAAAGGGTCTTTACAAAAGCTATGTACTTATGCTGTTTTCATCATTTGACACTTGATGCTGTCTACCAAAACTACTCCCTTGGCTCCCATTCGAGCACACTATCGTAACTCTAATAAAAGGAGACAATTGTGCACTGAGAACAGAGGACTTGAGAAATAGGAGGAAGATGTATAACTAGCTCTGAGAAACTAGTTATGTGCTAAGTGTAGCAACTTCTGTACATTTTAATGGCCCTACTTCTGTCTACTCCGGAGTTTGGGGGGTTCCCCTAGGCTCAGTCTTTGACCCCTTTCTCTGACTTTATTCTTTCACCCAAAGGTTTTATCTTTCATGGTTTAATTATTGCCTCAACTTAGAAAACTGCTGAAGCGTCATCTCCAGTCACATGCAGTGTTTCCCCTGAGATGACATAAGGAATATTTAAATTTCTGCTGGACACTTCTATTTATATGTTACCAACACTTAAAGCTTTTATTTCAGCATTTTAGAACCAACAGGTACCATCTGTTTCTAATTAAGTTTTGTAGACTCAGAAAGTTAGCTTGTGCAAGATAACACAACATGTAGTACAGAACTCTTGATTTCCAGTCAGGCATTCTAGTGCTCACCAATCAAAATACTATCTTTCCTCTAAAGATGTCCTGTTGTGCCTTTTTGCAGTCTCTTGTTCTTCTGTTAGTGCTATCTATGATACCATCATTTTTCTAGATAACAGGGTTTAAAACTGGGTACCATTCAGTCACCACATCCTTTTTATTCTGTGTTTGGGATGTCTCTTAAAATCCATTTCTTCCTATCCATTCCATTGCCACCTCTCTAGTCTAAGCTTTGACTATAGCAATCACCTCTCTAATTTTCCTAGAACAGTGCTTTTGCATGTCATTCCCTATTCAGATCCTTCAGTGGTTCTCCAATGCTTTGAAAAGAAAGTGCAAAACCTTAGTGAAGGTCTCCATTTCTCCCTCTGCTTCCCTGCATGATCCCTCTGTTCAGTTTTATTTGCCCCTGAACACTAAGCCTTTTTGTCTCTAAAGTCTTGTTCATACTGTTCACCTTGCCCAACCTTTTTTCCTGCTTTGGTTAACTGAAAGTTACCCTTCTTTCAATGACTAACTCAAGTCCTTCTCTCAGTTGTTCTACAGGCTCAGTCTTTGGCACTTTACTCCACCAAATGAGATCATGTGTATAAAATGCCTAGTATAAGGTTTGGTATATAGTAGGCTTGCAAAAATGTTTCTTTCTCCCTTTCTTTCAAAGTATTTTTCTATTGTGTCCTATTTGATTCCCATGACAGTTTGTGTGACTGAGGGAAGATACGCAGATTTTACAGTCCCATTTTACAAATGAGAAAATAGACTAAGAGTTTAAATCAGGGGTCAGAAAGAGCCAGATAGTAAGTATTTTAGAGTCTGTGGGACATATACCAACTACCCAACTCTGCTGTTGTAGCCATTCTTAATATGTAAACAAATGAGCATGGCTATATTCCAATAAAGTTTTATATACAAAAACAGGTGGAGCTGGATTTGACTTGTAGACACTAGTTTGCAGAACCACTGCTTTAAATGACTTATTCAAGGTCATATGCCTGATAAGTATCAGAATTTGGATGGATAGAATCCAGATCTCGACTTCTGATCAAGGCTTTTCCACCATACTATACTTTTGTCTATGTTTTGCATTTGTCATATGCTAATTTGTTTTACTATTTTTCTTTTATG